GGTGCGGCGGAGGCGGGCGGCACGTGGGCGGGTGGCGGCGCACTGGGTGCCGACGGAAGCCCGCAGTGTGTTCCGACGCCCGGCGCAGGGCGACGCGGACGATCCCGCCAGCACTGCTGCTCTGCAACGCCCACGGGATGCCAGGTACACGCCTCGCCTCGCCTCTCCTCTCCTCTCTCGGTGCATCCGTCCGCCTTTGCGCGCGACGTCTCTTTGTTTGATCATCTTTGTTTTTTCCTGATCATTACCATGCGCTGTTAGGTTTTGGTGCCTTTCTTCTCTCGGACTCGTTGCGCTTTTTTTTTGTTTTGTTTACTGTGTTGTCCTATTCTTTATATAGTTGTTTTTCATTTATCAACTTTTGTATATCTCTCTTGAGCTTGTATTTTGTTGTTCGACCTGATACCAAAGCATGCTCCATTATATGAATGGTGAACAAATCATCTGACACTTTTCTATTGATTGAAGGAAGTGTAAGGCATCGTATTCACCGAGGTAAATGTGAAGTTAACAATGTGAACTTATTTTCTTCGAATATGTCGCATTTTTTTTTAGGAGTCAGATTTGTATCATGCAAATTTACAGATCAGCAAATATTTTAGCTACATGCCAAGATACACGTGTGCATTTCAGAAGTAACAAATGTGTTTTGTTTCTTTTCAGTTTAACATGCTTTTGCAATTTTTTTAAAACTCTCTATTCTAAAATCAAATCACTTTGTCTTGTTCACAAAGATCTATTATAGTGGACAATAATGAGTTTAACTTGATATTGTTGGTTTGAAACATGTTGAGTTTTCACTGAATATCAAATAGAATTGATTATAAATAAATACTCTAAATACTATTTAAGACGCGGCTTTTTGTGAAATAGAAGGGAAAAAACAATCCATGGATGGGTGGGAAGCGTGTGTATGTGCCCATGTGTGTGTTCTAGTGTTAATGCGTGTTCGTAAGTATACACACGTACGTGTACACACTAGCACGTGAACGCCCGTGGACTTATACGCACGTGAACGCATGTGTGTTTGGACGTGTCAATTACTTAGGCTTGCAATAGGAACTGTATTTCAATGCAAAGGCATATTTTAGTCTTATCAGGAAGTATGGGCATTTGCTACATGCATGAAACACTCAATTTACAATTATTTAAACGTGAGTTTATGATGCTCGTTTTGACTATTTTCTTAGTATGGATCATTTTTCTGAAGTTGAAAATTATTCTGCACACTTTTGCATGTTACACATGTTTACTGTGAAACATTTAATTTCTAATTTTTAATGTGCTTTTGTATACGTGAATCACTGAAACTAATATCAACTTCATATGTCAATTATATTTGATATTTTTGTAGTAAATAACGTTCTCTTCGCGTGTTACGGGTCGGCAAATCCATCTTGATAATTTATAATGTCGATGAATTATCATACGTGACATGAAGTCACAGAAGGGGCAATATCTACAAGATTTTGTAAAATGGATGCGAAAAAAGGAAATTACATTTTAATGGAATAAAGGGAATAGCTGCCACGAGGTTCATGACATAGTGTTCAAACGTGTTTCTAATGCAAATTGTTAAATGTATTTAGCAGAAGACATCCATTGGGGAAACTTATACAACTGAAATCACTAGTACCATCAATCAATAGTTCGCTTAAAATGTCATTGAGCGATATACTAAGAGTAAAATCCTGGGTGAAAGTAACGTGCTAACAAATTGGAAGGAAAAAATGATGGGTTAATATACACTTCAAAGCATATTTTCGATTTTGTATTGAGTAAATGCATTCATATTTAATATATTTTAAGCGCTAATAAATATAGTCACTTATCTTGTACGGTTCATTTAATGCACGTTTTATCCCGAAAACGGCGGTGTTCCCCAAGGTTGTGAGTTACAGCGCTGTAATACACATGGACGTGCGAGGTTTTCCCATCCAGGTATTGACTTCAGTGGGGTACCACCTGGGTCGAGTCTTCCGAAATTTATGGAAGTGTAGTGCAAGTGTGTGTGTGTGTGTGTATGTGTGAGTCAAAGGGTAGAGAAAGGAATAGCATGAAATGGGGAACATTGCGGATTGATGAACGGCCTGTTTGTAAAGGCACTGTCTTGGTATTCCCCTTCTAATGATCGGAGAAACCATGGAAAACTGCAGATCGGAGTAGCCGATAGCCATAGAGAAGCCGAAGCCACCAAGAGGACACCCCCCCCAGACAGACCAACGTTTCAACACACCTCCCACGGCCGCACGCCTTCCTGGCAGAGTCCATATTTCCTCGGGGTCCTTGAAGGTTCCTCGCCTCTTTCTCTCCAAGAGAACACAGCATTTTCCCGTCAATAGGACGTACATCGAGACCCCAAAGATTTTAAATAACTAAGATGCTCAATGTGATGAATGTAAAGAAGTATTGATATTGAATCGTGTATGGTGAGTGAGTAAATAAAAAATGAGTGATTAATTGACGATTTATATATTTATGATTTTTTTTCTCCTTTCTTGGCAGTCAGGACTACTCCCGGATTTCCCTACCAGCTGACGTATGTAGCCGCTTGAGAGACTTAAAACCTTCGCTGAATTTCTCAGCTCCCTGGTTCGGTGTATCCAGTGGTGTACCCGCGATACTTCCCAGACCTCACGTTGAGGTGGACCTTCAGCCCATGTCGATCCTATATTATATATTGTTGCCTTATGCAGCCTATGCACCCCTCTCAGTAACTGAATATTGTTAGGAACTAGGGCGCAAGTTTCCCGATGCACAAAAGATCCCTTTTAGCCCTATGATTACCGATAAGGCAAGGCTTTAGAAAAAAATTAATTTTTTGGACATTGATTACAAAACATTCATATCGACCTTCAGCCCTGTTGTCTGCCTGCCTAGGGTAACCTGCATCACGCTCCTGGACCACCGAATTGGGAAATGAGTAAATGAATGAATGAATGAATGAATGAATAAATAAATAAATGAATTAATGAACGAATGAGCGAACAAACGAGACAAATATTGATGAATGACTTGAATGAATGAATTAGAGTGAGTCAACGAGTGAGTGAGAGAGTGAGTGAGTGAATGACTGACTGACTGACTGACTGACTGACTGACTGACTGACTGACTGACTGACTGACTGACTGACTGAGTGAATGTCTGAGTGAGTGAGTGAATGAGTGAGTGAACCAAAGATGAATGAAGAAGCCTACAAGTGAGTGAATCACTTAATTGAAAGAGATGCCACCCAGAGACACTCACGAGGGCCGAACCTCGTTCGTTCTTGCAGCGTGAGCGCCCGCGAGCGGTGAGCGATGCGCGGGCCGCGGTCGTCGCTGCTGCTGCTGCCGCTGGTGGCGGTGGCGGCGGTGGGCGCGTTCGGCCTCCCGTGGCTGGGCAGCGGCGGCCCCACGATGCGCGACGCCCAGGCGGTGGTGCACAGGGTGCGCGAGGACGCGCCCCAGCTCTTCATGGGACCGGTAGGCACGCACGTCGCAGCCACGACAAGAGCGCGACACAGAAGCAATCCAAAATATGGGGGAGTGATGTTTTTTCAATTTAAGGGTCGAGGCATGATAATAATAACCCGTATGCTACATAACCATATTAATAATATTCTAATTTTTCACAAAACGTTCATTACCCTACAATTACTAAACCAATTAACAAAACAAACCATAGCATACGTTGTGAAAACCTGCTAATATTACCATATTTTTGTACAGCAGGAAGTACAATGCGTAAACACCTAGTGTATACATAAATACGAAGACGTTTCTTCCTATTTTTATACATATTATATGTGTTCTTTTACGTACTAATTATATTATATAACCCATGCTTATATCTGTCCACATTATACGTATTAATTTCTAAAATTCAGAATGACCATAAAACAAAGTCTAGAGTGGCGATGATCGATAGTTAAAACAATAGGAGATTTGGTTCCAGGAACATTACGTAAGCGACAAGAAAACGGAAATCACTACATATCTCTTCCATTAGCACAGCATATTTACTGGTACGTTCACAGCTTGAAAGCAAGAGCCGCTGTCCTTGTCCTTTGAAAAGTCACAGAAGGCAATTCTTCTCTGGTGTTTCTTTGAGGCGGCATCACTAAAAATGAGAAGTTTGTCAAGAAGTAAATTACAGAAAATATACTCGCAATAATTTTTATTTTATTTGACAAAATGAGTATCCGGTTAAATTGAACACAAAATATTACCCTTACTTTTTTATAATCAGAGAATCCATACAAGAGCGGCCAACGTCAATTCCTCTCCATTTCATAAGTTGCATTTGAAGTTAACCCGATTGAGCCTTAGACGACACAAAACATGTAATGATCCTATTGTTCTAATCTGATCGGACGACGCGAGAATTTCTACAAAACAATTACTATGCCAAAGCCATCGCACGGCTTGAAATGTCACGTTTTTGTACTACCGTAGGCAAAAGATTAAAGTCACATTACTTCCATTAAGATAATCAAACGGCGGTATTTCCTACAAGGCGAAGGTAAGTGTGAATGATAAGTGTGAATATAAAACAGAATCACACTCTAAAAAGCTTGGTGTTTTCATTTTACCTTTTCGTTTCGTAGAGATAATTCGAATTCAAAATACAAAACAGTCCATCCTCAGTATCTTGGCACCAAAAATGTGTGGAGGTGTGCGATAGAGAGGGTAAGTAAGGCAAGTTCTGTATTCTAGTTTTTCAAGGACGGTGTTTTTAATCTAATTTCACTTTTGTATCGCCCTTCAATCCGAATGCACGATCTTTTGCACGGGCCCTCCCCCTTTCCCCTGCTGTAGCGTGGAGGCCTTGTAGCAACTTGGGGAAGTACAGAGCGCGCTCCGCCGAGCACCTCACGCCCCGGGGAGCTAAGCGAGTCACAGCCCTGAAGCTGCCTCCGGCGCCGCATTCGTCGAAGACAGTCCTCCCTATGGATAATGTTAGGAGTAGCGGGTTAAGCTACGCGCGCACTGAATCAGTCAGGTACGGAATGACGGGCAGACGGATGGACGAATGGACAGACGAACGGACGGACGAATGGACGGACGAACGGGCGGACGGG